TTACAATCTTGATTTCTCCCATAGTTTAGTCCAAGGTCCTGTTATACAAGTAAAAATTCATAAGTCTAGTATATCCAAATTCTTATTGGTAGATGCAAGAGCTTTCATGCATGCCACAAATAAAGGATCATTTTTTTATTATATATGCCATACCTATTATTGATGGTTAGAAGTTATTAAGTGGTATTTTTAGCTAGTATCAAGATTTTTTAGATATTTTTGAAAAAAAAATATAGATATTCTTCTAGAGTATTGTCCTTATAATTATACCATCGATCTTTAAGATGAAATTCAACCACTATTTAGACCAATTTATAGACTATCTCAAAATAAATTGATTGCACTCAAAGAGTACATTTAAGAGAATTTGACTAAGAACTTTATACACCATTCTAAATCTCCATCGGGGGCTCTTATCTTATTTGTGAAGAAAAAAGATTGATCTATGTGCATGTGTGTAGATTATTGAAGATTTAATAAGATCACCATCATTAATAGATATCTTCTACTTTTGATTTCAAAACTTCTTAATCAACTTAATCAAAGAAAGATCTATACAAAAATAGATCTATGAGAAACATATAACTTAGTCTGCATGAATGAAGGAGATGAATAGAAGATTGCTTTTCAAATTAGGTATGAGCGTTTTGAATATAATGTCATGCCTTTTGGACTCACAAATGCACTCATTGCTTTTCAATATCTAATGAATGATGTCTTTTGTGAATTTCTTGATGATTTTATTGTTTGTTATTTAGACAATATTTTAATCTATTCTAAGAACACAGAAGAGTAAAAAGTTCATGTTTGCCATGTGTTACAAAAACTAAGAGATGCAGGATTATATGCAAAGATAGAAAAGTATATATTCTACATTACTCAAGTTAACTTTCTAAGATACATCATTTCTAATGAAGGCCTTCTAATAGATCTAAAAAAGATCAAAACTACTATGGATTGGAAGATTCTAAGAACAATAAGAGATGTGCAATGCTTTTTGGGCTTTGCCAATTATTATTGAATCTTTATTAAGAACTTTTTTCAAGTTGTAGCTCTACTTACATGTTTGATTTGTAAAGACAAACTTGAGTAGAATAAAGAAGCCAAAGTATCATTTGTTGCTTTGAAGAAGGAATTTATTTCTCTACCAATTTTATATTGCATCGACTTTACTAAGGCATTCTTTATGGAAACAGATGCATCAGACTTTGCCTTGGGTGTAATATTATCACAAATAGGAATACAAAACAAATTCCATCTAATAGCTTTTCATTTCACAAAATTTTTAGCAACCAAGATTAACTACGAGATCCACAACAAAGAACTTCTTGTAATTACAGATTCATTTCAAAAATACTATCATTATCTAGAAGATGCTTTGAGTCTAATCATAGTATGTATAGATCATAGAAATCTTGAGTATTTTATGTTGATATGTATTTTGAATTATCACCAAGCCTATTGGAGTATGTCATTATCAAGATTTGATTTCAAGATCACATATCAACTTAAAAAACAACAAGGTTTATCAAGTGATCTTTCTAGATGTTCTTATCTTATATCAAAAGAAATAAACATATCTTTTGATCAACAAAGAACAATCCTCTTGAAGCCAGAGCATTTTCATCTTCGAGCAATGAAATCAACATTGGTTATTGATTTGACCTTTGTCAAACAAATTCAATTTAATATGTCTTCTAATCCTCTTATTCATGATATCAAGAAACTTTCTTTTAAGTCTCATGATGTTTCAAAGTTTGAATTCAAAAACAACCTACTCTATTTTAAAAGATGCCTATATATTCTAGAAAAAGAAGCACATTTATGTGTTCTTCAAGCACATCATGACTTTCTAACACTAAGATATTTTGGATACAATAAGACTTTACAACTTATATTCATAGATTTTTGATGGCTACAAATGTGGAAGGCGATAAAAAACTTTGTTCAATCATGTGATGTTTATTCAAGATCAAAAACTCCTCATCATCAATCTTATGGACTTCTCTAACCATTGCCTATATCCAAACAATCACGATCTTCCATTTCTATGGATTTTATTACAGATCTTTGAAGTTCAAATTTATATGATTTTAAATTCATAATCGTAGATCAATTCACCAAAATGATATTTTTTTTATTATATACAAAATCTATTTAAAGTGAAGAAATAACTAAGCTTTTCATTGATAATATCTATTGGTATCATGGATTACCAAAGGATATTATATTGGATAGGGGAACTCAATTTATATCAAGATTTTAGAGAACCCTATTCAAGATTCTAAAGGTGGATATAAAGCTCTCTTTTGATTTTCGTCTTCAAACTGATGGGCAAATAAAAGAGGTGAATCAAGTTCTGGAGCAATATTTGAGGTGTACCATCAACTATCATCAAGATGATTGGACAACTCTTTTGCCATTGGCAAAGTTTGTATATAATAATTTAATACATTCTTCTACTCAATAAATATTTTTTTTTGCTAATTATGGTTATCATCTACAACTTGATATTTTTTACATTTTAAAAATTGATAATCCTATGATGGAAGATTTAGCAAATCATTTATCAAAGTTACATGCAACAATAAAGACACAATTAAAAGAAGCTTAAGAATGATAAAAGACCAATGCTGATGCCTATCGCAAAGAACAACCACAATTCAACATAAGTGAGAAGATATGATTACTTCATTGCAATATCAAGACTATTCGTTCTTATGATAAATTGGACAATTATAAGTTGAGATCTTTTTTTATTTGTGAATAAGTCAATCTTGTTGCTTATCAATTATATCTATTGGAATCTATGAAGCTCCACCTTGTATTTCATATATCCTTTCTTGAGCAATATAAGACAATGAATATCTCAAGAAGAAGATAAATACCACCTTCTTCTATAGAAATAGATAATAATCAAGAGTTTGAGATAGAAGAAGTATTAGATTCAAAGCAACACCGAAATAGGTTAGAATATCTTGTTCATTGCCATGGATATGATATTTGTGAATGTATATAAGAGCCAACAAAGAATCTTATAAATATAACAAAGAAGGTTGAAGCCTTTCATTGATGACTCCATCGAAACCAAGATGAAGAATTGTAAAGATCCATAAAAGATGATGAACACTCTTTATAGAACTCGTTCCTAGAAGGAAGGATAATGTCACAAATATGAACATTTATCCCAATAGTTACATATATGATTACATAGAAGTAAGTAAATATAGATTAATTTCATAAAGTCTTCTAAAATAGCTTCCTAGAAGCTTCATAGACGTAATTTTGACTTTAGATGTGTTTGTAGATTAGAAACTTGGCCAACAAGTTAACCACATATTGGTAGCTTGTAGAATAAGTTAATTTTGTATAATAGCTTGTGAAACAAGCTAACTATGTGGTACATACATAGATAACTTACCTTGCTAGTTAAGACATGTGGCTACCAAAATCAACACATGTTGGAGGTCCAATAAAATATCACCATATAGCTCCTAGTTAGAGAATATATATAGAGTCACTCTTGTCAACGCCTTTCTAGTCCTTAGTCTTGTTTCAAGACTTTCTAGTCTTCTTGTTTTTGGAAATAGTCATTCTAGTTCAATATTATATCATCTTTGAGTGACTTTTTAGTTTGTTTTAGTGATATAAGAGTGTGTTGAGGATTTTCTTTCTTCAAGATTTATATCCTTGCCATCTAGTATCCTCTCCAAAAACCATAAATTCTTTCAATTTGCCTAATATGTCTTGAATGTACTTGATAGAGTCTTTGTCAAAGATGATTTTTAGTGATTGAATGATGTCTTCTTCTTTGAGTCATTCTTCTTATTGTGCATCCTATTCTAGTTTTGATAGCTCATGTATTTTTTGTATCTCATTTCCATCTCATCACAAAAAATATGATATTTTCTTCTCTATGAATTCATTTGGCATTATATTTATGAAAATTGGAATAATTTCAAAGTTCAATGGTCTTTGTCTGAGTGATGGAATCTCATATGGTTCCTTGAACTTTCTATAGTCCTCCATAAGGAATTCCAAAAAGGTTGATAAAACCTATGCAATGAATTTTTTAAGTTCTTTCATACTTTGTATAAGTGTGGGATAGGTTCAAGTGACCATGTTGGCAGAGAATCAACTTTCCTTGCACTTGCCTATTGATAATCTATTTGTGTAGGAAACAATATATATATATATATATATATATATATATATGAATATTTGTGTCGCCTCATGTACTAAATGTGTCCTCGAGATTCTCTACTAGTCACTTGTATTAAGGTGTGCCTTGTAGTATTACTATTCTTTGTCTTGATATTGGAGCAACAATGTCTTTTTTCCTGGTTCTCCCATGTATGCTCAACAATACATTACCATATATTCTATTAATATATTTATATGTATTAAAAAAATTAAAAAACTTCAAAAAATAATTGAACATTTTAAAATAATTATTAATAAGTTTTGTTGATTATTTTTTAATTATTTTATTGTCATGCAAAAAAATTACATAAAATTATAAAAAAATTAGCATGAAAAAATTATATTATATCTAAACTTAAATATAATATCATATATAACATAAAATATTATATTTTCGTATTTTATAATACAATACTTGATATTCAAATATTATGAAATATATTTAAGTTTGATAGTTTGAATAATTTTATCAATGAAAAAATTCTAAAAAAATTAATATTCAATATAAAAGATATTGCATTGTACAATATGACATATAGTCTATAATATAAGAAGAATATTAAAATTTAAAATGAATAAATCATAATGAAGAATAATAGATAAATTTTATTATATTTTTCATTTTCATTTTGAAAATATACAATGAAAAACTAAATAAATTTAATAATTATTGTATTCATACTTAATTATCATCTTCATGAGGGTGTGGAGAGCTCGATGCAAGTTTGAAGGGCAGATTACCGTTGATGGGTGAGGATAAATCAATACCACCTCCAAATACCCGACGGCAGGGGGGGATGAGAAACGAGCATCGCCATCCACATCCATTTGGGGCTTACCTCCCAATGAGCCACGTAGGTTTAGAAAGGGGTGGCAAAAAGCTGAGGTGGCTGTCCAGCTTTATCCCCCGTCCCCAGCTTTTGTTGCCATCCACACACCAGTTGCCAAGCTCACACTCCAACACTCCCCGTCGCCGCTCCTTAATGGGGAGCGTTGTCATGGCCTCCCGCTCCATCAAATTCGTCTCCACGGATTCCTCCATCAATCAGGTCCTCCTTCTTGCCTTGTCTTTGTCAATCAAAAATCTCAATTCCTTCTTTCGGCTTCATTTTTCGCAGCTTCTAACGCTGCAAGGTGGAAGCCATTGTCTTCGACAGGCGTCTGTTGTCATGTATTTAGGGTTTCCTCTCTTGTTATGTGGTGTCGTTGATTCCGGAGGCAGGGGACTTAGCGGTTTAATTGTGAATAAAAATGTGCTTGATTTTCGCAAGAAATTTTTTAGAGCATTTATTCATGGTTTTGGTTGAGGAGGGCAACGATTTTCACTTTTGTGGCTTTTTTTTTAATAATGATGAGCAGTTGCAGAAAAGAGTTACCAGCATTCAGGAGAAGCGTGTGGATTCCTCGTCAGGAGGGCTGGTAGTGACAGCTGCGGATGTGATCGATCCTAATTTGCTGTTGCCTTCTGTGCTGCCATTCAAGAGAATAAAACTCACTGATCGCTATCCCAAGGGTCAAACTCGGGGGTGGCACTGAAAGCATCTCAAGCAGATCATTCAGGATGAGAGTTATCATACGTACCATGCGGTTGAGCCTTCTTGTACGTGCGTAACTCATCTCCTTGCAACCCTCATATTCGACTTAATTTTGTCTTCGTTGTAATTAAGGATTGCTGTAAGACAAGTGTGCGAGGTTTATTGCTGCTGGTGCTGATTTGGCAACCTGGTGACTTTTAGATGTAAACATTGATGCTCTACCTTCCATGTATCCCGCAAAATAATAATGTGACATCACTGGTTTCGAGGTAGGCTGGGATTCCTGACATTTGCTGTTGAAGTAGTAATCGTTCAAAATGATTTGATTAAGGATGTTTTATGTAGATAAGGTGATTCTTAGCTTCATATTCATGTGTGGCGGATGCGGTGATGCAGGCACCTTACACAGACCCCAGGAACAAGCTGCGCTACGTCAATGCAGAAGTGTTCAAGAGAATTAGATCCTCACCGGATGAACAATTTCAAGGCTATTTTTCTCTTCGGAATGCAGCCGTTTTGCTGAAAGAAGGATTGAAAATTGGTCTTGATTTCAATCACATATCGTACGCCTAACATTTTTTGAGGACTCGAATGAGCGTTGTAGATAATTGAAGCTAGCTGTCGCCTGATATCCTCTTATTTCTTTAGATACTTCCATTTGAATTTTTCATTGATGTAATACATTCTATCAACTTCTTTTTCTATTTCTGGAAATGGACTGTACGAGGGTTTGTAGTATATTTGGTCCGTGTCTTGGTTGCATCGGAGGCAATGAACTTGGTTCATTGACGCAGCTAGCATCAGCAAAGCAGAAGTTTCCGTTGTCAGTGTATAGTTCCAGCTTTAATGGAAGGAAGAGTTTGAAGAGTATAAGTCATACAATGGGGCACTCGTGTTTACAAGACTCACCGGTTCGGCTAACGTCCTTTCCCCGGGAACGATTTTCTTTTAATGATATTACAGCTACTTCTGCTACAGCAAAAGCTAGTGAGGTTTTGACCACGTTGGGAGGAGAAACCGCTAATGTTTCGTACGAAGTGAGCAACGAAAGTTTCCTTAGCGATGATGTGAAGGCAGACATAGATGATGGTAACAACGTTGAAACAGAAACACTTAAGCTCTTAGAGTGGCCCAGAGTATGTATTCAAGTGTCAGAGTTTGCGAGTACGCCTATGGCAGTAGCAGTCGCTCGCAAGGGGGATTTGCCCATTGGCAGAACTGTAGTTGAAAGTGAGGAGCTTCAAGCACAGACGGTAGCTGCTCAATTACTCTCCAGCCCGCTTGAGTTCTCTGGTATTGAAGACCTTCGAAAATTTATCGAAGATGCTCAATCTGGAAATGTTTGTCAATTGGAAGAGCTTTGTCTAGTGAGGAAAACTTTAGCAGCGGTGAGACGTTTACACAATCAGGTTGTTGGCCAGTCCCGTGATGGAGCCTCCATAGAAACCCATAAAGATGAACAAGGTGTGTAACGCCGTCACCTATTTCATTCGATCTTTACGTCTTTGCAAGCGAATATCTATTCATGTTTTTGATCAGCTCTGGTTTCATCCACACCCAAAGCAAGCCATGAAGTCCCTGTCATGCCCACGTTATGCAATTGCCTTAGGTGTTGCAAGGTTTGCTCAGTCTACAACATTTTGTTTTCTGCTAATTCTCTAAGCATGCACCACATATGTTCCTGCTTTCAGTGCCTTGTCTCAAGTCATTTCAAGCTTGTTTGTGATGGACATAGCAATTTCGAATCGCTTCTCTCACATGACGCTACTCTTCTGGTTGCATTCAGAAACGATTGCAGGTAGGCGTAACCGCAGATCGAATCATTTAAGCTGACTCTTCAGATTCATCTCTGCATGTTTCAGGTGCTGCGTCGATTGGTCCATTGCAAGCAGTAATGCTTGGGTGTAATTTATGTTCCGAGCTCGAGTCGGCAATCGAGTATTGCTTGGATTGTTCACGCTCTACTATTCTCGACAGAGCCAGCTCAAAACTGGCTTCAGTAAGGTTAATGAGGCAGGAAAATTCTATGGCCCTTGAATCACTCATAAAAGAGACAGCTGCGATGGTTTTCAGTGCAGGGGGTATGGACTCCCAGCTTGTAACTAAGCGGCGGGGTCGGATGTGTGTAGCCGTAAGAGCTTCCCAGAAGGGGCTACTTAAAGGTGGCGTTACATTAGATGTTAGCAATACAGGTGCTACGTATTTTATGGAGCCCGAATCTGCCATACATTTCAACAATGAGGAGATTCAACTTGCGGAAGAGGAAAAGCTAGAAGAGATTGCTGTGTTACGACAGCTGACCTTCATGCTTCTTGATACAAGTGATGATGTCATCGACCTTTTAGAGAGGGTCACAACTCTTGACCTTGCTTGTGCACGAGCGGGTCATTCAGCTTGGCTTAATGGAGCTCGCCCAGTCTTTGTCAATAGTATGGCGGATTCTATGTCTTCAAGCCATTCTTCCTCTGCCCTTGACACAACGCCAGCAAAAGAGGACCTGTTGCTGGTGGATATTAAGGGTGTGCGCCATCCTCTTTTACTGGGTTCTGCGCTCGAATCTCCTGTCAATTCACCTAGATATGGTATTTATATTCGGCAGAAGGAAAAATCAAGAAGGTCCTCTTCTGGTTTGAAGGGTGCTGTGGAGAGCTCAAATGTGGACAGGATGTTGCCTGTGCCAATTGATATCAACATTAGAACAGGAGTTAAAGTTGTGACGATAACAGGTCCTAATACTGGTGGGAAGACTGCTGCTCTGAAGACTTTGGGTGTTGTAGCCTTAATGGCAAAGGCGGGCTTATGTTTGCCTGCCACTGGTGTTCCACGACTCCCCTGGTTTGACTCCATTCTTGCGGACATCGGGGATGATCAGGTTTGGCATTTTACTGTCGCCGATTTTGCTGCTGATAACCATGTGTTGCATTTCAAAACATGACATTACTTCTGAACATGAGAGGATGATCCTAAGCATAGTCAGTTTGATTGTGTGGTTCTGGTTGCAGTCTTTAGAGCGCAACTTGTCAACCTTCAGTGGTCATATCCGAAGAGTCCGTCAGATTCTAGAAGCTGGCACAGCTCAGTCATTGATACTGCTTGACGAGATTGGAGGGGGGACGGATCCCTCTGAAGGCGCTGCTTTAGCGACAGCAATTCTTAGAAATCTAGCTGCCTCTGTACAGTTAACACTTGCAACTACCCATTGTGCCGAGTTGCGCACATTAAAAGACCATGACCCTGAGTTTGAGAATGCATCAGTTGAGTTTGATGTTAAGACTCTTCGACCTACTTATCGAGTTTTATGGGGCATAGCCGGTCAATCTAATGCACTTAATATAGCAGCTTCTCTTGGGTTTGACTCGGAGGTTCTCACTCGAGCTAGGGAGTTGGTTACGAAGCTGGTTCCTGCAAGCCTGGGTGCCAGGAGCACTGAATTGATGGTGCCACTTGTTAAGCAGCGGAATGAACAATTGGAGCGGTCTGCTGCTGCAGCTTCTGCACTCGCAATCATCTCAAAGCTTTATAATAAGGTGAGCATTATTATTTATAGACAACTTTTTTAGTTTAAAAGTGCTCTTTCACATAAGTATGCTCGTTACATTTCCACTCCTTTCCGACTGTTACTGGACATAATAATTTGGATATCTGTGTTTGCTACTGGTAGGAGATTTTGGGGACTTGTCCTCCCCGATCTTGCTGTTGTGAACCTCTTAAAGTAGAAGAGTTAAGCTAGAGATCAAATAATGAGTTACTAGTTTAGAGGAGGATGTTTCTTAAATTGCAAGAACAAGAAAATCGAACATTTCCATGTCCATTTTACTGCTTAATGTGATAGTCATCCTGGTGGAACTTGCTTGGGATCTAGCCGTGACCTTTTGAGGGGTCAGCCTGTTCCATGCTCTACCTGCGCCTAGCTTCTGTCTCTTTACTTCTCTAGCATGTTTCTTCGAATTATTGTTTCTCGACTGGGACAACGGTCGCGGCTGAGTGTGAATACGCCTCTTCTTGTCTTATTTAGTTGCAATCAGAGGCGGAAAATCTGGCCCAGAAGGAAGCTAAGCTACGGCGTTTGCAAGAGGAAGCCACAAATAAAAAGGTCGCACATGCTAATGCAAGTTTGGAGGAAATCCTCTTAAAATTTCAAGAATCAGCGCATCAGAAGGCTAAAGAGGACGAAGGATTCTCCATGCGTGATGCTCAAGCTGCAATAATAGCAGTTGTAGAAGAACATGCCACTAAACCTGTGGCATCAATTACGTCAAATCCTGCAAGTATCACTGAACCAGAAGGTAAGGAAGGAGAAGGCGAGCAGCTCAGAGTTGGGGATGAAGTGATTATCAAGCGGCTGGGAAAATTGCCAGCAACTATTGTTGATATCCCGCAGGCTGAAAATGATTATTTGACTGTGCAAGTGGGCACCATGAAGATGAGAGTTAAATTGAATGAAATTCTTTCAAGAGTAGCAAGATCGGCAAAAGGAGGTGCAAGGACTCCTACAGAGAATAAAATGAAGGTTGGTAACTCGCAAGGCTCTCCATATATATTACTATTTCTCGGTCACGCAATACTCAGCTCGACCTGGTCGAGGCAGTTAATCTCAGTCTCGCACCTCTAGGGTGCTTTGCGGTTCTTTGGAAGTATGGATAGATACATGTTCTAACTATTTTGTGACGTATAATCCTTAGTTGTCTCAAGCATCTGTTGTCCCTAGTGATCGATGAAAAGTTATTATGTATATGGAATTTCGTGATAGTCGGTGCCTGAATTTATGTACCCAGGGTTCAGTTGAATGGGCTCCTTGCTTTCGAGGGGTAGCTGTCTCATATTTTCCCAATAGAAGAACGATTCGCAGCCATCGTTTGTAATTCGGGTTGTAATGGATTGTAGGGAATTTCTTAAGAGAATCACGGGCCTAATAAATTCATGCCTTTACTATTGTTTCCTGTTGACATATGTTGATGTTAAGAGATTGACGTTTTCCTGTTCACCTTGTTCAGCAGCCTGCCAGATCAAGCAAGGCTGAGGCAGAACCAGAGGAGATCAAGTTTGACGCTGCCGTACAGACCTCAAAGAACACGCTCGATCTGCGAGGAAAGCGAGTAGAGGAGTCATTACAGGAGTTGGATTTGGCACTCGCCGGCCGTTCACGAGGCTCTGTATTATTTATTGTGCATGGCATGGGTACTGGGGCTGTGAAGGAGGCGGTTTTACTACGCTTGAGAAAACATCCTTACGTTGCTAAATTTGAGCAAGAAAGCGTTATGAATCCTGGATGTACTATTGTTTACATTAAGTGAATAGTGTTCCGCATCGTATGTGTTGGAACGGGCGTGACATTGATTATGATGCTGACTACAACAGAAGTTGAAATTGGATTATGGTGCTTCTCGTTTTTGTTGTTGTTATTTTTTCTTTTTCTTTTTTTTTCTTTTTTCTCTTTTGACAGAAGTAAAGAGACTCCTTACTGCAGATATGATATAAATACATACGTACCAGCCAGTTCTGGCCAGCACACATGACATCAACTACCTAATCTACGACTTAAGATGCAAATCTAGGACTGACTAATTTTCTTTTCGGGGCTTTCGATGCTCATGTTGCTACCAAGTCGTTAACACACCATTGTTGGAAATTCTCCACCTGGGTGTTTGCTTTGTCCAGTGCCTTCTTGATCTTGGCCTGCGTTGATACACATGCCACCCGCCCAAAGTCGACAAGGTTAAGCCAAATCTTGTTGTACATCTGCTCTTTTTGCCAATGTCTCCCAGTAAACACGGCATCTTTTCTTTCAAGCCAGAGATTTCATATGACTATCGCTAGCAAACAACAGCCAATATTTGCCAACTTTCTTGAATTTTTGTGGGATCTTGTGTGCAAAAATCCCCTGTTTCTAGGTGAGCATGAAAATGTGAGCAGGGTGGCCACGCACTCCTATTCCTGTGGAATGGTGAACATTGCATAGACTTGCATTTTTGTGTCCACAATTGGCACCTCTACTAGCCACCTTGGTGCCCCTACTAACCAAATAACAGTTAGTTTGTGACCCAATTAGGGTTGCAAGTGTTCCTTCTCCTATTAATTTCTCCAGTATTCTACTTCTCCGCTACCATGTCCAAACAATTGATGGACACTCCCACAACCTATATAGCACAATTTTACACTTTATTTAAGAAACAAATATGACAACATTGATCTATGGCATTGCTCATTTTTTCTCTCCACATATTCATTATAGTTGATTGGTGCAATACAAGCTAAAAGAGGTTAGCCTCTTTGCGTTCCTATTGTCTATTCTACATGTTATTCCATCATAAGCTGACAACACTTTCAATCACTTTGCTTCCATGGCTATCGGCATAATGTGATGTTGTTGCAGAAGTTGTCAACCCATCTAAGTTGAATAACATACAAAGGAAGTGCTACACAACCATCAAAATCTCTTGGGGTGCCACTAAAGTATGTTAATTCAATCTTTAAAAAACAAAATGAGTACTTTCTTTAGCCCTCATTTCACTTGTTCAACTTGGACCCAATGTATAAAGCCTTATATTAAGGTGTTTATAGCTTATCTTTCATCCAAACTAAAAATTTCCTTATATTTGACAATATAAGGAAATCAATAATGGTGTTAGCTACATGGTTGCGAGTATTTGCTTGTACTTGATATATTGGTACATTGATGAGGATCTTCAAGTGGATCAAAGCTTGTTCAAAGTTATATATATATATATATATATATATATATATTGGTTTATATTACTATGTGAGGAAGTATGTTATCTTTTGTTGCATAAATGTCCATCCATTCTTGTATTGATATACACAATTGAAAAGAACGGAGTATGTTCCCTCAAGTCTCATATAATAGTTTGAAGGCAACATCCCATGCTCTCGTTTATTCTATAATAAGCTAAAACAACCCATGGCTTCTATTGTTGTAATAAAGCATTTTCTATTTCAGATATCCTTGTAACTCAATACACTTGCTTGCTGCAAATAGAATGCCTATAATTTGAAAAAACCTAGCCCGATCATTGAGATTGTGGAATAGTTCTACAAAGTATAGCATAGCAATTCCTCTAAGTTCTTTGGAGGAACAAGAGTGAGCTTTGTGAGGATCTATTTGCATGCTTCAACGATCCAATTTCACACTATAGATCCACGGTTGCATTGGTGCAATAGAATTGTGAAATAATAAAGGCTTAGAGGCCATCTCTTGCCACCATATGGTTGGAAGTGACTTAATATGTATTATAACAAGAATTAGAGGTTTAATTGCCTAGGTTTGAATGCCTTAACAATCCATTTGATCATTAGTAATATTATTACATCTTCAAGGTGTATAAGGTTGATTCCCTTTTTGGCTTTGAGTTGGCAATATTATATCTATCCAACTTTTGATTTGGAACATTCCATAGTACTAGAAGTTAGATTAGTCCCTATAGAGATTTTGATCTTAGATATTCTCTTCTTTGTATCTTTCTACACCAATATGAAGAAGAATAGTAAAGATAGTAGAATGCTATTAATCACTACTGCCCAACTTGCTGCATTGATCTTGATGGTGTACAAATATGCAAGTTTTTCCCAAATTCTATTTGTCAAAAATTTGTCTATACCAATAGAATTCAGAGAGAGGTTGAAAGGAGAGCTAAGAAGTTTGTTCATGGCATTGTATTTTCTCCATGTTATCTTTAATTGTTTGGTCCAAAGGGATCTTAGTACGTCACATAGTGATTTTTAATACTTGAATTTCACCAATTGATATTAAGACTAGAGGCCAAATAAAATGACTAAAGAAAATAGATGATGTTACAAATTGGCTCATCTTCTTCCTAGAGGGTGAAAGATGTGTCATCTACATATTGCACCATAATCTATTGTTGATTGTCTTTTGATAGTTGAACTCCTTGAATCTTGCCTTCTTTTTCTTCTTTATACATTGAAGTATTAAACTCTTCTGCCACTATGAAAAGAAAGTAAGGGATAAGCAAGAATCCTTATTGTATTCTTTTTTGTATTGGAAAGAAAGAAGAAAGGAAGTTCTTGATCTTTACACATGCTTCAATGTCACAAAAAAATAAATAAGCTATATTTGTGAATTTGCATGGTAGAATAAGAACCTCCATTATAAAGAATATGAAATGCCAAACCAATAAAATATAGGCTTTGGAAAAATCTAGTTTAAGAAAGAGTAGATGTTTACATGATTGCTTTACTTATGCAATTAGTTTTTTGTATAAGAAATAGATTATCTTCTATGTATCTCATTGAAAAGAAGGTAGATTGATGAAGATTTATGGTTTTTATATAAGATTAGTTGTTGTTAGAGCTTGAAGGACTTGACATATATCTTGTATTCAAGGTTCAATAAGATTACTAGCCTCTAGTTGGTGAAGAGTTGTCTAGGGCCTTTGTTGTAAAGCAAGGCAATCATTTCAATTGTTATGCTTGGATATAAGGAATCAAAAGAGTTGCTACCATATATCATTTAAAGATACTCAAGACCTATTACATCCAAAAAGGCCATATAGAACTCTACTACAATCCCATCTAAGCTTAGGAATTTCCTTGGTTGTAATACCTATAGAGCTTGAGTAAGCTCAACTAATTGAATTGGATGTTATAATAATATTCTCATTGCAATTGTAGTTTGCTTGAAAAACTTTGCAAAGATTGCATGCTTGCACTGATAAATGTTGACAATGGTACATTGGCTTTGTATAGTGTCTCACAGAACTTAGCACATATAAATGAGATCATAGCTTAGCTATGGTGTAGTTAACTATGTCTATCTTTAAGGGAAATAATATGGAAAGATGTTGACCTTTCTTTGTATGTACAGAAGAATTCTCACAAGCTCTTATCTTTGATTTATATCTAGTTCAACATACTATGTACTCGTTAGTTGTCAACTTTGCACCTATCCATATACTAGATGTTACATCTTGTAACATGCCCACATCCACATATGCATGTAATTCCACATCACTTGTATCCATTTGAATAGCTACAATTCCCACAACTAGTTCTTGTATCAATTTGTCTTCCTCTATCCATTGAACTCTTATTTTATGTATCCATAATCTTTTATAAAATTTGATGCATCTTTGCATTTTATCAAAAAAATTGTGATGCAAGTAGGCTATCTATATATGGCAAACTATTACTTGTACTTCTACATCATCTAAGTAAAATATACTCATAACACATGTCAAATATCAAGGCTTGATCTCTTAAAGAAATACTTGCCACCACATAGGATAGTGATTTGCATGTGTATTACCTTTGTATATTCTATATTCAACACAAATGATGGATCTTCCAAGAGATGCAAACAAGTAAATTTTGTCTAGTTTTCTACTATCTCTTGGCCCATCTTCTACTATCTTAAGCGAAGCGGATTGCATTAGAGGAAGGAATAAGATTATTAACTCTTAGAGCCGTCTTGACAAGAAAAGTTGTCCCCTTCTGCTTCAACATTGTTTGTCTAGTAAAATTAGATTTGTTGATTTGTCTTTCTACAAAATTCATATCACCTATGAAGAGCTACCTACAATCATGGGATAATCTAGTTATGAACTCTATTCATAGGTTGTATCGCTTTAGTATTGTCTGTGGGGTATATACGTTGAGCAGGGACAAGTCTTTCCTGAGAGCATATTGAAGTCTCAACCATTGCGCTTGCCGTGAACAACAGTGATGGAAAGAACTAACCATGGGACAAAGTTGGGATGAGACCCACATATTCACACCTCCGCTACCAGCACCATTGATGTTTTCATCATTTATGTATGCTTTAGTTGCCTCGTGGCCTTAGAAATTAGCTTTTGGCCAAATCTTATATTGTATGGCAGCAAGCTTCAGCCCGAGAAATTTTTGCTCCTGAAAGCACAGAAAATCCAGTCCCAATATGTAAGCTGTGAATAATTATGCACGTGTTGTTAACATGAAGCCTCCAAGTGTTGATTCCAACAATTAATGGTGCTTTTTGACCGTCAAGAAGGCAACAATAAACTCAAGATTTCATTTGGGATGCCTTGTCCCTTGAACCACTTGTGGAAGATTAAAACTAGGCAAGCAAAGATTTGTCCTATCATCCTGTGCGGCATTCCTTTGTGTGTCATCTAGTGAACTTGTGGTAAAAGGTTGTTAATCCTAAGAAATCCTATTATGAACAGTTCCCACCACTAAACACCTCATGGTCCTCAGTTGAGCTGTGACCGATTATTATGAAGATGATCAGATATCTTCCACTATTATGATTGAACCCGAACAATACGTATAGGACCCAATGCAATTATATTTGTACTCTCGGCAGCTTTGCTACCCAGCAAGAAGAGCGAACCTGATCACATCTCCGTTCTTGTTCTTCTTTACATCAATGCTACTTGTTCGTGAATTGTTGTCACCAGAAGATCCGAAGAAATTATTGCACATTGATGAATGAAGTATATGTTGCAGGATATTTTCAATTGAGGGGAAAAAAAAATAGTGAAGATATAGGTGAGGGTTACAATTAATAGCAGTGGCGATGAAAAATTGTTCTATATTAGATGAATAAGTTATCTGGGGGTTTGTCTATGACACAGAATTTATTTAAGAGAACAAAGTTTTGCTGGGTGGTCGTATGTGGGACAGTTTAGGTTGTATATTAGACGTTGACGTTGAGGTAGACATCACATTATTTGGAAGTTGTTCTTGAAGTTTTCCTGTTGAATTCTGAAATTTGATGGAAAGCGGAAGTGCCATGTCACTAGTACTTAGCAGTTTTTCCAGCTACATACCGTCGTGATAGTCTAGACGTCCAAATCTGCTCAAAATTCTGCGTCTACAAAGCCTACTTTTAACATTCGGCTTCTAACAACGGATTATTCGTCATACTCATGTTGGTTCTCAAAGCGATGTGAAATGGGACTTGCCAGCCCTCATTCATTCTAGCAAAGCTTGAGCTGGGACTAAATGAACGAGAGTCTCTACTTAGTGAGAATGAGCAGACGCCAAAAATTGCAGTTCGACTCAAGGATGAGATAAACAGGACAGCCCTCGCTATCTGGTGCTAAAACACAGTGCCAAAGCCGCTGATGAGAGCAAAATTATGACCTTAGGAGCCAAGTACTTCGCTGCGGATCTTTGTCCTGATGCTAAGTGGGTGCTGCACAACAAATCGAACACAATATATCAGCTTCCCATTGTTAAATCATTGAGATGATAATCTGATTAAAAGCTTATTCATTATCTCAATGCTACCGGTGGTAGCGAACTGACACGATAGACGTGGGGGTACATACTTGGAAGGGTAAACACATGCCGTGTAACCTGGACATACAGAGAAAGGTACTTATTAGACATTGGGATGGTCGCACTTAGAACATTCTCAGTAGAAACACATCTTTGAACACATGAAAATTCCTCAAACATAAGCTTTGAACTACAATGATTGACCAATTCTGAAGCATACTAGACGAACTAGATCCTATTCAAGTAGTTTCCTCACATTCAAACATTGTGTCTGTGAGCTTAGTGACCGGTGGCGATTTAGGCTAACGAATCTCTTAACTTACTAGGATCCTTAGTGGTGAGTGTTGCTGTTCCCTGAAAGTTGCAGGCATTAGCCGAGTTGGAATTCTTCTGATAGTAGCTGTTGATTGCCCACGATGCATGAGATGTTCTGGTATTAGGCAGGAAGCACGCTTGACCTGGTTGAATAGGCAAGCAGTCTGCTTGTCCAAGTCCACATGCGTAATCTAGAGCTGCTTGCAAGGCATCCTGGCTTGCATCCTGCAGAGCGACAAGGTGCCGTCCAATTATATAGCTTATAAATTGTTAGATGCCTCAATAGAATCATCCGGCTCCACAAACGGATGAAGATCTTGTAGTAAACTGGATTAAAGGACACTGCAGAACTACTTTACTTTCAGACTAAATTAGTATAGAGCCGTGATGCCAGACCTGCTTGGCCACACACCATGTGCGAGTAGCAGAAGCAGCAGGGGGGCCAATGGGAACCTGGGTAACTTGACTCCCTGAAAGATCGACAGCGTATACAGGCGCCATTTCCGCACTAAACAATCCCATGCTCCGAGTGGACAGAGGACCTTGACGCTTATCTTCGTTGAAAAGTTCATAGATATAAGTGATGATCAACACTCCGGGTCTGCCTGGACTGCCGACCTTGCTCAGCACATGCTTCACAAGGTTGGCATTGTAAGTCTGTGCATTCGATGGGGAAAGACCTTTCTCATAAGCCTCTCCTTGGGAAGGCCACCCCGTTTCACTGACCACAATGGTGAGGTCTGTATGATTGAGCTTGGCCAGTGCTGCGTAGGTTGCATCTAAAAGCGAGTCAAAGGCGTTAGTATATAAAAACCCGGTGGCAGAATCCACCACTCCAGGATTGTTCTGAAATAGTGCAAACTCTAGGCTTATATTAGTTTGGCCGTGCTGGTATTCCTTGTGAGGATAAACGTTCAGGAAGTAGAAGGACCCAATCGCCGAGAGGAAGTCCAGCATTGGCACCAAGGTCGTCTTGGTCAGATTTGCACTAAATGCGCCTATTGAAGGAGGAAATTTGCTTACGAGGAGATCCGCCGACATAGGGGTCGTGACTTTCATCATGCTGTCGAGACTGTAAGATACAAGAGCCGTGTGTATGAGCTTCATCGCAGGCAGGAGCATTACTGCTTGACTAGATTCATAGCTGAGGACTTCGTTGCCCACGGCGATGGCTGTAATGTTGCATTTTGAAGCATACGGCACTATGTGGTCGTTAACCCACTTGTAAGCAGTGGCATTGTCTTGCCCGATGGCTACGATCTCGTCATTTCGTACCCCAACGACGAGCTGAATATTGGAGCCTTGGAATGCATTGAGGACTGAAGGGTTGGTGTCGTATATGCGTGCTTGCGTCACCCCGGATTTTTTCAGTAGAGCCACAGCTTGAGTGGGTGTTGGCAAGTTGTCTCCATAAGTTCCGTAGTTAACACCGATAGAGGCCTCTGATGCAGGTTTTCAAACACAGGAATGACCAAGATCAATGCATATACTGAGGCAAATTGGTTGACATTAAGAGTGTCGATCTGCGGTAGGCATTGCAAAGTTTTTCTACTAATTGGTTCAATACCTCCATAACAGCCACAACCTACAAATCTCGAATGTCCAGGAAACTATAAACCTCAAGACCCTCTGAACCACAAGCCTATTTTAGGGGGTGCATGGATTAGCAGTGTCCTGTACCTGCACTTGAAATTAGAATGAAGATTGAAATAGCTTGAAATATTCGCATCATATGTGCGACTCTAACAGCCATAGCTGCAAATTCCACGGTGGGCTTGAAACTCTGGCACTGACGAATCACAAACGTTTCGTTAGAAATCAGTAGTATCTCGAGCAAGAGGCGGACAGCGATACTATGTCATTGATTCCAAGTAGAGTTTTTGACAGCAATATAACAAATACTTCAGGTAAGTTAAATCAACGAGGAAGATATGAGAATGCGGTACCTAACAACTAAAACTAGCCCCCAATTATAGACTGCCGGATATCCCCTGCACGCTACAAGGGCTTTGAATGGACAATAATCGTGAGGGAATAGCTATTGAGAGCAACAGCCACAGCAACGGTGGGAGCTCTTCACCACGTAGGGCGACAACTGAAATCCATCCTTCGCCCAACCAGATGTCCCACACTAAGGCATGAAAGCTTTCAGAAGGAGTACAAGCTGCAGCAACTAAATTGGTGAAATGCAGTTCGACAATAGAACGCTTGGCTCGCAACTCTACGAAGCCGAGTCTTGTGAGAAGCACGAGAGGTCAAATACTCCACGTTCGAGACATGAATCCAACAGAGCTAGATGTGAGACAGCACATCTGTTATTCAGCAGAATCCGCGAGGCGGTGGAGAACGAACACCTTCTTGTAAGAAGAATAGGAACCTGTAGAGACCAAGGGTTTAAGGAAGAGACCGTTGAGGCAGAAGGGCTTGACAATGATGTCAGAATAGTACCTCTCCCTCGGTTTTGCGGAATCCAATGTACTAGCTTATTATCAAAGCCCTCCTTTCGCATCCATCCTCGCTGTGAATGTTCCGCCTGCGTGCCGTCTTTTGAAAACTTGACAGATATGCTCAGAGATGGCGGATTTGACAGTAGGCTGTGGTCTGGGCAACGGGACATGAAAACTTCTCTACTTCGCTTCTGCCTAATCTGACATAGGTGAAATCCGCTCTGCATGCTGAGAGTAGCAGCCAGGAGGATTCTGAGACTATTAAGAATCCAAGACAAGGAATGGCCCTGAAGAACTTCTTCCCCATTTATGAACGTATCTGGACCCAAATCATGTAGTAGGAGGGGACAGCAAACAGGTGAGGCTAATTAAGTTTCTGCCATCAAGGACTTGGAAAACATCATCACGATCACCCATCATAAACCCAACAGTAATCTCTACGTACGCCTGCATGTTTTATCTAACGTTGCCACTGGATAAGCATATAAATCTTTTCATCACCTTAAGGAACCCTACTATTCTATTACATATATATATATATAGTAAACTACAGCATTTATATCAGCTACGGGCCTAGCAGTTTGTAGACTGTAGACGAACATTCCTAACGCTACAGAAACTTGTTCATTGCATCATTCCCAAATAGATGACGGTTAGTTGATATCGCGCGGTACAGGAAAGTATCCATCAAGAGCCGGCCGTGACGAGTGACTGTTGAGGATGATATACATACTGGTATTTGTAACCAAGTCTCTGGTAGAGCCAGAGTAGGATACACATTCAAACCCAGTCAAAATCCTCTTCCCGGCTCTGCAGCGTCGGGCGTACCGATGAGCTGCTGCTGTGGTGACCGATTCCCAACGCTTACGCAGGGGGAGATAACCCAACCAACGGATCTCAACCTCGACGCCTCCTCCTCATCGCATGACAGGCTCAGCGCTGGTCTCGAGACGAGTCCCCTTTCAGCCATCACTTCCGACGCAAGCAAACCCCCCCTCCGAGTGTGGATCCCCTGGGCACCCACCCAGTGTGGCTGCCTGCCTTGTAAGTGCCTTGACTCGGAGCATTGTCAGGGTCGGCAGCTTCGCTGACAATTTAGGGTTTCGGAAACCATCGCCAAAACCCCCACTTCTCTGGGGCTCCGTTGCGAAGACGACGACGGATTCCGGATGGAACATGCGAAGAGATCGACAACGAATGATCTCATCCATCGACCTGCCCTTTTCTGTAATCGCGACAACGATCCGTTCGATCATCTGTCTACTCTTCACGAGAACGAACGATTCATTCATCCTCTTTCTTAAATGACCTATTATTACTCTTTGGTGCATGGAGGACAACTGTGGTTAATGGCTTGTTGCAATTAACTCATACTTTTTCTGTACATCATTTTATGTTAGTTTGAATATCTCACATTTTAAGAGCCCACGTCAATATATTTATTTATTTATTTATTTATTTATTTTGACACAATTAGAATTTTTCTATTGCAAAAATGTTAATGTACAATACTCCAACAAGGGCCAATCAGGGGAGTTAGGATATTATTATGTACTATGAACAAAGTTACTTCTAGACCAGCTAAGTTTCTGCACAAGTTCAGTTTGTTGCTGTGTTGCCAGGATTTGATTCACACACCATTGGTGGCGGAAATGGTGGTGCTCAGCAGCTGCTTGTAGTGGCCTACGTTTTGCATTCTCTTGTATTTTTAACCATGTATTCCTATCTTTGTCAATAAGTTGTAGCCAATTTTTTTGATAAATTTACTCTTTGTGCCAACATATGATATTAAAGGTAGCATCATTTCTTTCGATCTAAATTATCCACATAATAATCTCCTATATTAGCAACCATATTTTGGTCACTTTCTTGAACCTTTGAGGTTTTCAATAAGCAAATATGCAATGGATTCAAGAGGGTGAAAATTGTGTAAGTTACAAATTGTCAGAAAGGACATTCCTTGTACCACTTGATAGACTAGGATTGCCAATTTTTTTACTACTTTGGTACAACCTTTCTTTTGTTTTCTCTCTCTATTGTGAATGGTATTCTTTAATAGGAGTAAGTAATTAAATAATATAAATTCTTCATCTTTAAGCTTTTATCATAAAGTTACATTCCTAAAATCTGTGTAGTATAAATTTGTGGATATCTGCCAAGTAAATTGGATAGGACTTATCTATGGTGTTACACCATCTGCCTCTCCAAACATTTACAACTACCACATAATATAAGATCAATCACATGAGTCCAATTTCTTTTCTTGCATGCTCTGTGTGATTGTCATTTTACATACTCTAAACTAATCTAATCGAAATAAACCTGAATAGGAGGATTCAAATATGACGAAAGACTATTTGCATGATTTTTTACATTATGGTCACATAATTAATTATCTCATGATCAACTAAAATACTCAAGAATGCTATATATCTTTCGTATTCTATCAAAGAAAATATTACAATCCATAATTCTATCTTATATATCCATTGTCTCTTCTCCTCTCCAAACTTATGACAACAATAGGTTATACTACACTATCTTAAAAGACTGCATAAAACATTCAATAATCCAATTACTAGAATTTTCTAAACTGATTGTCATTCCCATTAATCTGCTTCACACAATTCCAAAGTCCACATACTTCTTGAATCTCAATATTCAATGTATTATAATTCTTCCAATTATATCCATACTTCATAAACATCTTTCATTATCAACTTTTCAATCCTCTTTTTATAATTCAGCATACAATAAATTTAATTTTTTATTTGATATCATCTATATCAAATCTTTCTTTCATTCTAGAATTTTACTTCACAATATTCAAAAACTTCTATTATTCTTATTCTATAAAAAAAAAACAAAGAATAAAGTGGTAGTACCAAGCTTATCCTAACTCATGACTATTATAGTCTGGCCCTTTCTACTTCTTCTTCAACCTACTTATGTTTTCCTCAAAATGCCAACCACTACACAATCGATGATAACTATTTTTTTTGACTACATCATCCATTCTACCTACTAAACTATCCATTCATCAGTTTACTAACTTCTTTTAACCCTACATACTAGGTATTATAAAATAAAAAAATCATATCCATTCTACATAGTCCCACTGCTAACTGTACAGCATCTTCGTAAATATAGAATTGGTAAAAGAAAAGTGCTTCAATAGAATCCTTACAAAATCTCTAACTCTCTAGCTTGCTAGATTGATCAATCTCAACATTCTCTTTAGGTAGTTCCACTGATTCTGATTCTAATGAAAAGTCCTCATCCTCCTCCGATACTTTCATTGGCTCTCTCTTCAATTGGGCTAATAAGTACTCATTCTACACTTCTAATTCACGACCTTGAGCCTCCAACTACAGAATCTTGATATCTTTCGCTTCCAAATGGTGTTGTTATTGCCTCACCTTTTTTTTTAATTCATCAATTGTTGAAATGGGTAGAATAGATATTTTTGACTAATCAATATTAGCTAAATCAACCTCTAATTTTGTCACTACAGCCTTCAAAGTTTCAATTTCTATCCATAATATTTTTGTATCAATTTTATATTCATCATCCAATGTCCATTTTTCTTGTTCTAATAATGCTATCTTTTTTCATTCTATTTTAAATTGACACGTTGTTTTTTTTCATTTCAACATTGATGTACTACAAATCTAGATTAGATCTTGCCTTTGGTCTTCCATGATATGTTGAATGCGTTCTTTTTCTTTTTTCCAACCTTCTTGTTTCTCCCTGAATCTAAGCTCCAATATCAACTTGGATTTCGAATTTTTTTAGATAATTTGATCTTATTCCTTAATTTGACGGCTTTGTTCCAATAGCTCTTTCATGTTTGCCTCTAATTATTGCCTTAAGTACCCTTCTCCATCTAGTTTACTCACCATGAGTTATAATTGAGAGATCTGAGCGAATATGACATCCTTGAGATTCACTATTTCTAATGTTCTATCTTGTGAAAATGCTAACTTATTTATGTCCATCAAAACGAAAACTTCAACCTCCACTTTGATTGCTGAAGAGATTAGAATCTGCTCTAGTAGAATCTCTTGTATAGCCTCATGTCTCAACAAGATACTTGATTCCCCAATTTTGTGCACCACGAACCCAAGACTAGTTGTCAATGCCATAAAATTCCAAACACTTCGTTGAAGCATTGGAGAGGGCATATTGTTTGCTCTTACTAGCAATGTTTGACTCAATGTATATGCAATCAAAGAGTGTACATAATTGAAGCAAAACAAATATACAAATTTTCCTATCTTCCATTTGACTCCTATTTTTTCATGGATTTTAGTTGCTACAAAAGTTATGCAATTAAACACCATACTTTCCAGCGTTCCTACTATATCAAATAGTAGCCATTTGAACATGTATATAGTGTGTCGATTTAAGCCTAATCACATTTGAATGAAATGCATCTACTGTCAAGGACAAAGACTCGATGAGGGAAAATATACACCAAAAGGCTATCTCGATATAATAAGTCAAAATATAAACAAGTAGGTATATTAAAAGGAAACTGGAATGGCTATTGCCACAAGACAAGAAACTAAAGACTCTTGAACCTGGACTAGAAGCAAGAAAGGAGTTGACAAGAGTGAAGAAGCCTTCACTCTTGTCTCTATATATACTATCTAACTAGGGGCTACGTGGCGACGTTCTATAGGACCTCCAATATGTGTTGACTTTGTAGGATACATGCCTTGACTTACAAGGCAAGTTTTTCTACGTGTGGGCCACATAGTTAGCTTGATCTTCAAGCTAACAACATGTGTGGCACATGGCCAACTTGTTGACCACGTTTCTAATCCAAAAAGTCAATTAAAGACACCTATGAAGTCAAAGTAGCGTCTAGGAAGTTTCTAGGAAGCTTCTATATTAAATATTATAGAATTAACTTACTTTTATCTACTTTTACTTACTTCTACCTATTTCTATATGTAATTATTAGCTTACATGATTATGGCCGTGACATTACCCCCCCTTCTAGAGACGAGTTCCACGAGGAGCGGTCATCATTTGTTGAGGAAATCTATGATGCGACGAATTGTATTCGCCACATACTCTGATCTCTGTTCTCTTCGAAGATGATTGATAGGGCCTCTCAACCATCAGTAGTGTCTCATACTAGGGCGGGAAGACCACCCAATTATTTGATCATTGTTAAGGCCTTCGTAACTTCCTTCGAATAGAATATTCGGAACACCATCAGGAGTTGTTCCTACCTCTAGCAAAATCACCAAACATCGAGAGTCCCTTCCCAAATCGTGATACCAAATGCATTGTATCTCACCATCTGTTCGAGGAAGAACATGTCGTTCTTGAAGATCTTCATCTCGATTGCGTCGTCTTGAAGGTTGTGACAATCGTAATGTCTCGTCCGACAGGTCAGCAAACGAAGGTTCTTGAGTTGAATCCGCTGGTTGTTGGCTCTCCATCTAATTAGCGTCACAAATGCAAAGAAGTTATAAACAAGGATAGGAAATTGAATGTTATCTTGCCTCAATCTTGTCTCTTTTATAAGAGAGATTTTCATCTTGGTTTTGATGGATGTCGTTGATGAAAAACTTTGACTTTAGTTGATGCATTTCCTAGTTTCCTGGATGGCTCCCATGTGCGTTCACTAATATCATATCCGCGCCAATGAACAAGATATTCCAGCTTATTTCGGCGCCGCCTTGAGTCTAATATCTCTTCCACCTCAAATTCTTCATTATTATCTACTTCTATAGAAGGCGGTGGCATTTGTCTTCTTCCTTGTATATCCACTGTCTTATATGGTTCAAGAAGAGACACGTGGAATATAGGATGGATCTTCATTGACTCCGGTAGATGTAACCGATATACAACTGGGTTGATCTGTTCAAAAACAGAAAAGGGGCCAAGCCTACGATAGTCCAACTTGTCACAAGGTGGAGTAGTCTTGATATTGCGACGAAGTAGCCATACCTTATCACCCACGTTGAATTATGGTTGCTCCTTACGATATAGATCTACGTTTATCTTTTGTCGTTCTTGAGCTTCCTTCAATTGCGTCTTCATTATTGCATGTAACTTTGACAACCGATTTGTCATATCTTC